CGGTCGTTCAATCGCGTGATCTTGCGTCAGGAACACAGGGGACAAGTCGTTGCATTCGCTCAGCGATTAGACGGACTTGAAAGGTGATTATCGTTACGCGTGACGCTTTCTGCGCAGAAGTTTTGAATAAATGCACATTAAAACGCAAAATTACAAATGGTTCTTCCCGTTTGACATGCGATTGGTAAATCGACGGGACACATTCGGGGAATTGTCATAATAATTAAGAACTTGATCTTGTCAAGCTGATGCATTCCTTTGTACTCGTTGAAAAAAGATATTATGTCTATCGGAGAATCGAGATTCTTCGGGAGACGGCATTCCGCAAGATCTCTTAACGTTAAGATTATACTGAAACGTTAATATCGTGGAAAAGAATACTAGCACAAAGGGTCAATCAAAATATTCAAAACAAGTGATCAAGTTGTGGGGAAAGACGAGCTCACTTTTGACAAGGAGAAGCTACTCACTGCGCTGCTACAGCGCTACGTTCTACTTTTTAAGTCATCTGCGGGAAGAACGGTGAGGGTTGCAGGACCACCAGCGATCGCTACAAGCTTAGCTCGTTCCATGGGTTCCACACGACAGACTGGCCAGATAAATGAATCGATTAAAATCAATGATAATCTAAATCGTTCGAGTTGCAGGGCCGAATTTTTCGACAGAGGGACTCAACAATGAAGAATAGAACAGGGATTCCATAATTCTTATAATTTCTGTAATTATGAAAGATTTTGGAGCTTACAATAAAAATCTACGTATCGGTCTCTGCGAAATGGATCTCTATAATGCATGCTGTCAAGGGAGAGAAAGGGAGGATGTGGTTGTGACAGAGTTGAACGTAGAATTTAGATCGGGAACAAAACTCATTTTAATGCGGATACCGTTTGCTAATCGTACTTTTTGTGGCAATAAGCGAGATCGTGGGAATTTTTTCAGCACAACTTATTATAAGCGTAGCAAAAGCACCTTGAGTACTTGGTTTTGTCATATAATCAAGATCATAAAAGGACTACGATGTTTAACGTCGATCAAGCTAACGAGTCCGATCGTTAATCAAGTTACAAGCCGTTTAATTAAAAATGAAAATTGGTCAAATAGATCCGTACCAAATTAAACTACCCTGATCTTCTCTGTGTTTCGCTGAAAATTGAAAACAGGCAGACCACCGTCTGGTAGTTGCATCGCTTATAAACATCTTTCTCTATCTTTAATAAAGCGGACGAGGTATAAAATAGATTTAGGCGTGTAATAAAAGAAACCAGATGGTAAAGGCAGGGAATTGAAAACATGACGTGAGAGGTGGCTATGTTATTTAAGGAGGAACAGCGTTTTTCAAACAATGCTAAAATAACATTTTTAAAGCGTAATCATTCTGGTGTATCATTTCATGAGTCTTTCACGTTGATTTTAGAGCCGATTTCAAGGAAGGATTTGAGAAACACTGCGTCAGAAACTAGAAAACACCACATTCAATCGCACAGGAACGAGTCGGGGATCTCATAATTACCTCTATATGTCACTAACTAGAAAAATGATAAATGAATATAGCGGGATGAGTGTGGATGGATGATGAAATGTGCTATAGTAAAGCGCTACGTGAGACTACGAAGCAGATTCGGAAAGGTTAGAAGCATTTCGTCACGTGGTCTCCATAGTCCCCCATACAATTGCTCCCATCTAAACGGAAAATTAATAGTACAATTATCATCGTAGCAGAGACAATGATATCTACGTAATGAGTTTGTGAAACGCCTCATTGCACCGCTAACGTAACTTATGACACCTGCTCAAGACTATTGCGCGCTGACCCGTGAATGAAGCGGTGCCGCACTTGACATCAATTATTTCAACCTTCTAGGACATACGAGCCTTCTCCCATGACTCACGTCATTAGAATTTACACGACGGCTATTTACGTTCGTAATGGGCTACGCGAATACGTGAATTAATGTTAATTATGCTCTAACGAATAATAATTTAAAACCGTTCGTCTCTAAAGGTGATATACAGCCGTCGTTTTAAAGGCTACCTGAGCTGAAATTAAGTACCATTAATCATTTTTACGTTACGATGCCCTTTGTGTACTTACTCCTATCGATGTTGCGTTGAAGATGCGCCGCTACGCGGTGTCTAGCGTCATTGAACTCGAGATGCAACCCGAGTCGCAGCAACGTCGGGTTTTGTTCTACCAACTGTGTGATTTCCATCTCAATCTTGTTGCCCAATACTTGTGACCTCTGAAAAATAATGCGAGTACCTCGATGAATCTCATTGTCGCTATTCTGGCGTAAAATGTTCGCGCGCGTAACTTTATGTGGCAACTTACCTGATTCGAACATCGGAATTCCTCGATAGACTTTGTTTTAAGAAGCGACCTGATGAGTTTTACTATCACAGGCGGGTTTATGAAATTCGTCTCTACGCTGAAAAATTTATTTTTGCCATTGAAACAATGAGAAATTATCAGCACGCGAATCTTGTGCGTGAAAATGCAATTTCATTTTATACATACTTGAGTACTCTGACTGTCGAATTCTTCTCCACGGCATCGGCCAACCGTTGCGCGGTCTTGTCGTTGAGGCCAACGTTGGTCAGGCTTAGCGTCTCGAGATGCGTATTCATTTCCAAACCTTCGAACAACTGCATGAACTTTTCGTCCGAAATATTCTGTAACGCGTCACCAGTGTCAGTTTAGTATAATAAAACCATCGGACTGCTGCTAAGAAGCCCAGCAATAAGAAAAGAAAACACAACAACGAAGAAATGAAGAGAAGTGAAAGGTACACGCGGTTAAGATAAGAGGAATGGACTTACTTTAATATTGTTCCAATTTAAATCGGTTAGAGACGAGTCGTCGTCCCGCACTTGTTTAATGGTAGCGTCGACATCCGTGTCGTTGGGCGGCTCCATCGGGTAAACTTTCGGCTGACTAGCTTTCGTCACACCGTCCCAGCCGAGTCCGACCGGCTGTCCAGAATTGAGTAGAGACGCGTGATACTGATCCTGATTCATCATAGAATGGAACCCAAGAATAGCTGGAAGAAACAGACGGCCTCGGCTGCTTATCTTTCTATCTCCGATACAACGGGCTTTCAGTGGCGATCAGATCTTACCAGCAAGATCAATGATTTCTTCCTGGCTGGCGGCCGAAAGAGCCTGCTCGTACTCTTCCCCGAGATCTATCGCGATCTGTTCGTCTGCCTCCTTCTCCTTCGTGTTGTCTTGCGGCGGAGGTACCCACTGAAACGAATAGTGCGATATAATACAACGTATTACACATAAACTCAGGGGCTTGAATCTTTTCCTCTAGCGTAAACGCATGGGAAAGTTTCATTTGAGAGTTCAATATTTGTCAATGAAACTGTCGACTTTTCACGAATCCACACTGGAGGAAGATTCACGGGCGAGCGCCCTGGGTCGCAAAGGCAAAACTTATTTTACACAAGTTTCACTCGCAACCGTTGGCTCGGCTCTTTCATATTATAACCTCAGATTTGAGACTCGTATCAGATTGGCATCGAACGTACGACGTACTTGCGTGGGGGACAGTACTCACTTTCTTGCCCCTGATTACACCAGGTACGTATGGCTTCAATTCCGGAATATCGGGCGTCTCCATAGCTTGCTTGTTGATGTGCTCGATGAGTTTCTTGCGATTCAGCGGCCCCGTGGGACTCTTGTTGCATTCGTAACTGCAACGTTGCGACGGCGGCATGAAGCTGTCCTGCGTAAACGTAAACACGGATTCAGTATCTCGAGGAGCAAGAACCGCCCGGGCTCGTTTCCTCAAGCGAGAGAGAGACACTTACGTCAGGGTCCACTTCCTTGGCCAACATGTTGAGCTCCTCCGGCGTGAGCTCCGCCAGCAGCTGATCCACGTCGATGTCATCGTACTCGCTCAGATCCTTGCCGTACAGCTTGGCCGCCGTCGTCATGGTGGTCTTCTTCGTCGACGAGGAGGTCTGTAAATCATCCCATGGTGTCTGGTCAACAACCGAGTGTTTCCTCGACATCTCGCGAGTGCTCTAGGCTACAGCGACGCGCTCTAACTCGTTCAAGAGTGTCATGTCATCTCAACTCGGTCCCGAGGGGGGAGGGGGGGGACAAGATTACGACAACGCTTTCGTGATCTCGTCACCGCGAGCGGAGGCGAAGCTGCCGATGTCGCGCGATCAACGCCCAATTATCGCGGCGAGAGCCGGTCGGCCGCTGAGAAGGGCCCCGCCTCGCGGAGGTGCCGAGTCCGCGTCCGGCCGCGACCGACCTCCCTTATCGCGGAGGCGTTATCGGGGAGAGCGTGACACGCCGGGCGTACGTGCGCGATCGACTGGTCCGCTCGCGGCGACGTGCGCCGCGTTTAAATTCGGCGAGCGTCCGTCGCGGCTGATGCCCCCTGACCCAGATAATTCGGGATCGATTTTCATTGACAAGTCGCGTGCCAAATCGGCGGCAACGGCGGCGTCGATCCTCGCCTCTCGGTCGACGCCGCCGCCGCCGCCGCCGCCGCCGCCGCCACCGCCCGGCCGTCGGGCTCCGTTTCGGGACTTACTCGATGGCGCGTCGCGGTGTCACCGCGGATGGACGTACCGCGTGCCGCCCGTACCCGTAGTGGCGCGGACGAGAGAGGCTCACCCTGGGCGACCTGCGTGGATCCCCGCGCGCGAAAGATTTGCGATACTTCGGCGACGCGAACGTCTCGCACTTGACCAGCCCAACCGGATCGCGGCAGCGCCCTTTAACGCCGATAACGCGATTGCGCGACTGGCCGAGCCTGCGCCGCGCCGGGTGAAACTTGTCCGGATTCCGGGACTCGCGAACGGACGGACGCCGCGCCCCGGGTTCAAGCGGATGTAAATAAAGGGCTTCGCGGTGTCCCTTGCTGGCCGCGGCTACGGGGACGGACGCGACTTTGACCGCACGTCGCTTCGACAACTGCACTGTTGCACGCGTTGCACGCGACGCTGGAAGGCGTTACGGCGAATGGGGTATATACGGCGAGGCGAAAGCGGGAGATTTGAAGCGGCGCGAGAGCGCGTTGCGTTTTCAGGAAACGCATCGAGTGTCTAATGTATTTAAACCAGGGGCGAATGTAGATTTTATTTGTCAACTACTTCTCCTTGCTATTTACTATTTATATATAATAATTATGTATGTGAGAGTGTTCGTGATTCTGCACTTTCGCACCTTTTGCACTTAAAACTGTCTGTTTCGTGGAAACATTTGTGTAATATACAAATTAAATGGCTTACGTGTACAGATCGAAAGCGGCTTGCTATTCCGGCTAAATGAAAGAACAATATGGCGTCATTGAAACTTTAAGTTTGTAAGTCTAATAAAAAATAATAGTGAGCAACACAAATACTACATGTACTTTATGCGTGTGTGTTGCTCACTATTATTTTTTATTAGACTTACAAACTTAAAGTTTCAATGACGCCATATTGTTCTTTCATTTAGCCGGAATAGCAACCCATACAGCACGCATATCTAAAAGACATCTTTAAGACGTCTTTAAGTCGTCTTTTAGATATGTATGTCTGAAAGATGACTTAAAGATGTCTTAAAGATGTCTTTTAGACACGCGTGCTGTATGGGAAGCCGCTTTCGATCTGTACACGTAAGCCATTTAATTTGTATATTACACAAATGTTTCCACGAAACAGACAGTTTTAAGTGCAGAAGGCGCGAAAGTGCAGAATCACTCCAGCATCCCCTTAAAATTCCGAACTTAAAATCCTAGCAATTCTCGGTAAAGGCAAATACATTATTCAAATATAACAATTATGTACACGGGGAGAATTGTTTCTTACAATTTGTCATGAAAATCGTGTAATCGTGGGGCAAAATATTTCGAAGAATTTTATGGGAATTGTTTGAAATTTTACTGTACATTTTACTAGTAATTGTACTTAGTATACATTTTACTAGTAGAATGTATGGCAAACGTTCACAAAATGCAATATTATCGCACGACTATAAAATTTTCAGGGAAAATTTTAAGAGAAAATTCTCCCCGTGTATATTGTATACGAGAGTCGTGCAAATATTGTAAATTTTTAGCAGCACCTTGTTCGATTTACTATTGAAATATAATAATTATGTACCTATATTGTATACGAGAGAGTCGTGCAAAGATTGCTGGTTTTAATAGCATCTTGTCGACTAAAAAATTGCAGTTCGAAATTTTGAACAAAAATTCTACTAATTCGCGACATCGCAATTTTCAGGATTCTTAGGACTTTAGATAATTTTAGAAACATTCTCAGAGTTTCAGTACCTTCTTGCTAACTACACTTCTCTAGTGCCTTACTAATTTTTATGAATTTTATGAATTTCGCGTCGAAATTTCCAATTCGCGATCAAACTTACAATTCTGAAAATTATATTACAACATTATGTCAGCAACCGAAATGACATGCGTCTAAAATTATGTCCTAAAACTGCTGTAAATTATTTTATGATACATTATTCCTCTGAAGAATGTCCCTACGATCATCTAAAGGGATTATATCGTTTAGTGATACGCGGATATCGGTTGATAACTGGTTCTCGAACGCGCAACGATAATCTCTCAATTAACTTCGATCAGCTATCAGACTCCAGCGCTTTCGTCAATATTTACTACGCGGTCTTATCGGCGCATCGTCTGCCAGTCAAGATGCATCGTCCGTAGTGCAAGTCTTTCTCAATTCAACGTTCATTCGAAAGCCGGCATAAAAATACCCGCGCACCCGGTGTGCATCCGGTAACGCGCAAAACCATGCAGCACGAGTCATCCCGCATATTAATCGAGCCCCGGAGTCCTCGTTTCTCGGCTGACCGTGAAACCGGCACGTGAATCCAACTTGCCAAAACCGGCAATTCCCCTACTTCCATCCTTCCATCCGCTTATCTCGCCCGCGGTCCCTCCTGTTCCCCGTTGGATCACGTAATCCGCGGGGGACCCGGCATTGGCATAATCGGCCTGACAACTCGGAGCCGCTCAAGGTCACCGGCGAGAGAAAGCTCTCGGGCGAGAGAAGAGGGACGGATATCGCGGATTGAGAGGAGCAGGTGGAGGCGGAGGCGGGGGGGAAGGGAAGAAGGAACAGGAAGGTCAAAGGGAGCCCGCGACGCGCGCGTAGGCGATCCGTCAGGCGGGAGGGACCTCCGGATCGGCAGTCCCGATCGGAGTGTCCGTCGCGCGTTGTAGCGCACGCTGGTAGCAGCGACAAGTCCGCAAAAATAGCTGAGGCCTCCTCGCTGAGGCTGGCACACTCCCAACAGGCTATACTTGGACATACCCGCGCACGCGATTATTTATAGTGAGCGCGAGAGCGCGGCCACTGGCCTTCTTACGAACTAACCAGCCGCAGCTACCAGCCGAGGAGACATTCTGCCGCCCGTGACCTAGGCCCGCATTAATAACGGGCTCCACCCTTGCCTTACGACCACGAGGAACTTAGCACTTTGCACTCGCTGGCGGGCGTAGCCATGGCATCAGCGCCTTCGCGCTTCTTCTTCTTCTTCTCTCTCTCTCTCTCTCTCTGTCTCTCTCCCTCCCCTCTCTTTGCTTGCTGCTCTTGCGATCTCGGACCCTTCCTCCGACAGATCCTCCCGACATCTCAGGCTGTCGGCTCGCTTTAAGTCTCTCGGCACCTAGTTGCCGAGGTCCTTGGACCCTCGGCAGTCCGTTCATTCCAGACCTCGGGCGAGAGACTGGGTCTCCCGTTTTCGGAGAGCTTGGACTCTCGGCAGCGAAGACGACAAACATTTCTTGCATCAATCGAGGATTTACGATGTTACGCGTCCCGCTTTCTATGCATTGAACCAGTGTAAATCCTGGACTCAAAGAGCGAAATCTATTTTTACATCGGTGCAGCACGAGATTGTTTGCAAGCGCGGAAAGTAGCAAATTATAAGCAACGATAAGCCCGAGAGGTCTCCGGCGAGGGCGTGCAATTTAAAGAAGCTGCTAAAAATACGCCATCTTTTTCGCGAGACGTCGAATCGTGGATTCGAACAAATTCCTTGTTTTCCTCTTGACCGCGATGGCCGGTCGCGAGCGGACGGGCATCGTGAAAAAAAGTCGAAAGTCACCCGGCAATCGACCACCGCATCTGTCCGAGATATTTTTACCCAGATTTCTAGAGTCATTTTCAATGTTAAGGTGATATATCCCGCGGCCTATTGCGCGCGCGAGATACCAGCGAGACGCATTGAACCGAAGAAAGCAGAGGCTGAAAGAAAATTACCTCCCAGCTGTCTGCGGCGATCTTATTTGATTTCTATTACGTTTCTCTGACTTGTTGCTTATCTAATTCGAAGACTTTCCAGTGGAACCAGAAGCCCGTTACGAGGAAGTAGGACGAAAATGCTGCCGTGACGGCGCGGCGCGATGGGAAACGCAATCGGCTCTTCTTTTTTTTTCCTTTCCGCTGGTGGGAAAGCGACTCATTCGTGGATTGACCTGAGACGCTTTCGATCGACTGCCTGCGCTAATTACATTCAGTTGCTCACTTTGCCTAAAGGCCCGTGTCCACGATACTAGAACTTGGTCCAGGTTCTAGTTCCGAGCTGCTTTCATGGAAGTTGATTGGGCCACACATTTCTCGAAACCAGAACTCGGACCACGTTTCGAGCACGTGGACACAGGCCTTAGACCCGGTAGCACCAACGTCGCTTAAATTTTAACCTCAGCTTAATTCACTCTTCGTCTCTATCTAAGATAAACAGTTAGAAAGAGACGAAGAGTGAATTAGGCTGAAGTTACAATTCCGTGACGATGGTGCAACCGGGACTTAAACGCGTGTGCGATCGAATCACTTGAGGAGGAAACGGTTCGCCTGATCGTTAAAGAGAGGGATCTAACATTTGAGGATTTCAACGACTCTCCTTTAATATCGAAATTTTTAAGGTGATTAAGTGCACGTGCGGCGGAGCCACGACGTTAAGCGCGACGCTTTAACGTAAAAATTGCCCG